GCACTAAAATTAATTAAATATGTTTATCGTGGCATTTATGATTCTTTAATAAAAATGCTTCTAAAAACAATTTCGTCAGATATTATATCGCTATTAATTTGCGTGGAACTGTTTATAAAGACGTATGTTCGGAAAGGAAGCTCGAGGCGGAGAAAAAGCTAGAGAATATATATACGTATATATGTGTGTGTGTGTGTGTTTACATACATACAGGAGTCATGGAACTGTGCTTGCAGCTCCTTCATATTTCATGTACACTAATAACTTGTGTACATGGTTCTTGTTGATGGCATTAAAATAATTTCTAATAGCATTAAAATAGCATTAAATTAGAGTCACTCATTCCTGTATGAACCCTGTGAGCGCTTAATTTAATATGACATATTAAAAAAATCCCACCATCATCCAGCATATGTTCAGTTTCTGCCCAAATATATATATATATATATATATATATATATATATATATATATATATATATATTTGTAGATTTTTGTAACAGAGATAAGGATAATTCAAAACTGCTTTTTTTGAATGAACTTGTTCTCTTCTCCCAAACTTAGCATCTCTTTTCATTCCTGTAATAAGAAGTTTCTTTTGAATGGATTTGATTAAACTTTAAGTCCCTCGGTATAAAATAAATATTTTAATGGAGATGAGAAATCTGCTTCCTGGTTGGTGAATAACCAATAGTTTGGATCCAATCATTTAAATAAACGGTGTTAGTTTTTTTTTTTTTTTCTTATATATATATAAGAATTGTGCTATCATTTCTAGTCACCGATCTGTTGCTGCTATATTTTAATTTGACGAACCGGAATTTGTCGATGTTCTTTTTCCTGTTTGGTGCGATTGCAATTGCGGATCTTGACCTGGCCGGACCGGAGCGGAGCAAAAAATAGCTCGGCTCCGTAATTTGTCGGTGACGGACGGAGAAGACGTACGTGGACGGAGACGTGCGGAGGAGTAGCGGTGGATGTGGAACAGCTCTCATTGATTTCCATGAAAGACAAGCGCTCCGCACGACGTACGTCAGCGGGGCGGAGCGGAGCGGAGCACTGACGGAGTATGTGGAATCTGGGGGTAACCCCGAAATCCCACATACTCCGTCAGCGCTCCGCCCCTAGGCACTCCGCCCCGCCCCACCCCGCCGCGCCCCACTCCGCCCCGCCCCACCCCGCCGCGCCCCACCCCGCCGCGCTCCGCCCCGCCGCGCCGCGCATTAAAATAGCATTAAATTAAACTGGAGTCACTCATTCCTGTATGAACCCTTTAATATGACATATTAAAAAAATCCCACCATCATCCAGCAGATGTTCAGTTTCTGCCCAAATATATATATATATTTTTGTAGATTTTTGTAATGGGGATAAGGATAATTCAAAACTGCTTTTTTTTTATGAACTTTGTTTTCTACTCCCAAACTCAGCATCTCTTCATCCATTCCTGTAATAAGAAGTTTCTTTTGAATGGATTTGATTAAACTTTAAGTCCCTCGGTATAAAATAAATATTTTGATGGAGATGAGAAATCTGCTTCCTGGTTGGTGAATAACCAATAGTTTGGATCCAATCATTTAAATAAACGCTGTTAGTTTTTTGGAATATAGAAGAATTATGCTATAATTTCTAGTCACCAATCTGTTGCTGCTATATTTTAATTTGACGAACCGGAGTTTCTCGATGTTCTTTTTCCTGTTTGGTGCGATCGCAATACCGGATCTTAAGCTGGCCGGACTGGAGCGGAGCAAAAAATAGCTCTGCTACGTATTTTGTCGGTGACGGACAGAGAAGACGTACGTGGACGGAGACGTGCGAAGGAGTAGCGGTGTATGTGGAACAGCTCTCATTGATTTACATGAAAGACAAGCGCTCCACACAACGTACGTCAGCGGGGCGGGGCGGGGCGGGGCGGAGGGCCAACGGACGTCAGCAGGGCGGAGCGCCGACGGACGTCAGCGGGGCGGGGCGGGGCGGAGGGCCAACGGACGTCAGCAGGGCGGAGCGCCGACGGACGTCAGCGGGGCGGAGCGGAGCAGAGCGCTGACGGAGGATGTGGAATCTGGGCGTTAGACTGTCAGTTTAGAGGTATGGATTAAATTATCATAGGTTACTGTCAGAGTTCACTTCAGAATAAAGCTTAATGTCAGGCTTAATGTAGGGGTTAGGGTTAATCTCAGGGTTAATCTTAGGGTTAATCTTGGGGTTAAACTCAGGGTTAATCTTAGGGTTTATCTCGGGATTAATCTCGGGGTTTATCTCCGGGTTAATGTAGGGGTTAGGGTAATCTTAGGGTTAATCTTGGGGTTAATCTCAGGGTTAATCTTAGGGTCAATCTAAGGCTTAATGTCAAGCTTAATGTAGGGATTAGGATTAATCTTAGGGTTAATCTCGGGGTTAATCTCGGGGTTAATCTTAGGGTCAATCTAAGGCTTAATGTCAAGCTTAATGTAGGGATTAGGATTAATCTTAGGGTTAATCTCAGGGTTAATATCAGGGTTAATGTAGGGGTTAGGGTTAAATTTAGGGTTAATCTTGGGGTTAATCTCGGGGTTAATTTTAGGGTTAATCTTGGTGTTAATCTCATGGTTAATCTTGGGGTTAATCTTAGGGTTAATCCTAGGGTTAATTTTAGGGTTAGGGTTAAAAACCGTAACTAAAAGGAATGTATTTCTATTTAAAGTCCTAACAGGGATTGAAATAACTTGTGTCATGCGTGTGTGTGTGTGGTTGTTTCCACGGTAACGTGTGTGCTTGTGTAGATGTGGGTGCAGCAGACACACACTCTGAAAGTGTTTCTGACCTCCAGGTCTCTTTGACACAGAAAGGCATTGTGGGATTTATCAGACGACGCGCAGCTGTGTGTTTATATTTGCCTGGCAGCTTCAGAGTGCGTCTGTGTTTGTTGTGTACAGCTGGCAGAGAGCTGATAACGGGCCGAGCCGAGCCGAGCCGGGCCGGGCCGGGCCTATTAGAAATATTAATACACCCTGAACCCCACAGAGACGGGGGGGGGGTCTGGCTTTAGGCTCAGCTCACAGCAGCAGAACATTAGCAGGAACACAGCAGGCATTAGCTACACACACTGATCTAAGACCAGCTGCTGACAAACATCACAGGAACAGAACCAGGACCAGGACCAGAACCAGGACCAGAACCAGAACCAGAACCAGGACCAAAACTAGAACCAGAACCAGCCACGTTAGCAGGAACACAGCAGGCATTAGCTACACACACTGATCTAAGACCAGCTGCTGACAAACATGACAGGAACAGAACCAGAACCAGGACCAGGACCAGAACCAGAACCAGGACCAAGACCAGGACCAGGACCAGGACCAGGACCAGGACTAGGACCAGAACCAGGACTAGGAACAGAACCAGGACCAGCCACATTAGCAGGAACACAGCAGGCATTAGCTACACACACTGATCTAAGACCAGCTGCTGACAAACATCACAGGAACAGAACCAGAACCAGAACCAAGACCAGGACCAGAACCAGGACCAGGACCAAAACCAGGACCAGAACCAGGACCAGGACCAGAACCGGGACCAGAACCAGAACCAGAACCAGGACCAGAACCGGGACCAGAACCAGAACCAGAACCAGGCCAGAACACAGGCAGTAATAGTGGGCCGGTTCTTGCAGCAGAACCGGTCCAGAACATCTGGCACACCTGTGGGAGTGAGGGGCCAAAGCCGGGTCCAGAAGTTTGGGGCCAAAGTTCATCAGGCTCCTCACGTCTCCAGACTGGTACTACCACGGTCACCTGGACCCGCTGCCTGGCCTGGTTCTGATCCTGCAGTGAGCTCGAGCCAGAGTCAGGAGGAGCAGGAATCTGGTCCAGTTCCTGGAAGAAGCGGTTCTGATGTCAGAGATTCTGCTGCAGAGTCGCTGTTCAGGGAAACTTGGATTTAACGTCCTGCTCCTCGCATCAGCTGGGAGGGAGGAGGAGGAGGAGGAGGAGGAGGAGGAGGAGGAGGAGGAGGAGGAGGAGGAGGAGGAGGAGGAGGAGGAGGAGGAGGAGGAGGAGGAGGAGGAGGAGGAGGAGGAGGAGGAAGGCCTGTGTCTGTAATTAGTCACACGGTTCAGAAGCAGGAAGGAGGGAAGCTGCTTCCTCCATAACTCAGCGTAAACAGGACAGTAACCGCCTCCTGCCTGTGTGTCCTCGCTCAGCCTGTCTCTCACGTGATTGGCTCTGTGATTTAGGACCGCTGCATTCTCATTCGTCAGCGGGTTAACCTCTGCGAGCGGGTGACAAACGGCGTGCACAGCCAGGCTCATTGTGAGCCGCCGCTGTCCGTCCATAACTCAGCCCAGAAGTGCGGCAGGTCAATAGGAGATAAGACAAAGGCTGCAGGTCTAAACAACGGCGAGCTGCTGCAGCCGAGCATCACAGAGGCTGTTCGATACCTCATTACCGTGACAACCAGCCAGCAGAGCTCCCTGAAACCCGCAGAGCCTGCAGAGACTCCTTTCTTTCCGGCATCTTCACGCCCTTCGTCCGTCGGTCCGTCCCCCTAAAGCCCAGAAACCTCCTTACCTCCAACATTCATGCAAACAAGAACCCGTCTCATCAAGAACCCAACAGAGTTTCTGAAATAAAAACTGCGAGTGTCCCACATGAGGACAGACAAACGTCCCTTCAGTCCACCGCTGAGACACTGAAGACCACGGAGGATCTCTAGGTGAAACCAAACCTTCAACTTATGAACCTGAACCAGGAATCTCAGGAGGAGCCAATGGAGAACAACCAGGATCCATCAGTGTCCTGCCCAGGCCTTTCCAGGTCCTTCCAGGCCTTTCCAGGTCCTTCCAGGCCTTTCCAGGTCCTTCCAGGCCTTTCCAGGTCCTTCCAGGCTGTAACCAGACAGGTCGGTGCTGCTAATGATTTTCAACATGCTCTCATCTCCTGCTGCTGAAGCAGCGCGGCGGTAATGATGGTTGAACCAGGAAGGACCGAGATCAGCTCCCTGAGGAACGCCATCAGAACCTACCTGCAGGGATCCATGAGCTGCTGGGCCGGTCTCTGGCGTCGCCCTGCTCCCAGTCAAAGTCGTCCTCTTTGGACTGGACCAGTGTGCAGTCTGGAGCCTGACCAGCCAGGCAGGCTGAAAGAGAAACAGAACAGGAAGGAATCAGGTTCTGTTGGCATCATACTGCTAAAAGTTCACATACAAAGGTCAAAGGTCATCTCCACCCAAACTATGATGTTTTCACTTCTCACATTTAGAGGATGTTTGGCTCAACCTGCTGCTGTGAAGCAGGATTCTCCACCATGAACAGAATCAACAATAAATCTGGATCCAGGCTCAAAATGAGCTCCTTGATATGTGCTTGAGAATGGCTTAGTCTCCGGTTAAACCCAGGTTTAAAGCCTTGCAGGGCAGCCTAAAGCCCACTGCCAACATTAAGACAGAAAAAAGAAAGAAAATAACAAACCATCAGTTCAGGGGTTTGAGAAAATATGGGAATCAGGAAATTATCTATAAACCAAACTGAACGATTGTTGTTCTCTACTTAAAAAAACACTTTAGATTAAAAAATGGAAAAACATTTTTTTTATATTTTCTATTTAAAACTTCAATTATAACGTGGATGCATAAAAACCTCATTTTATTTCAGTGTTAAATTCTGTTTAAAGTAACAGATTATAATTAAAAATGTCTCTGGACCTTTTCTGGTTGATGATTTTCTTTATTCAGACCCAAAGGATTTTTGATTGGTTACCTCTGGTTTAGACAGCAGTCCAACAAAGCCTGGTTTTAGTTTAGAAAACATGCAGATAGAAACGGATGAACGGGTCCCCCCCTTTGGAATGGGGGCGGCTGTTAGCCTGCAATGCCCCATACCTGCCTATGTCTCTGAAAGGGGGGGGGGGTAATGGAAGCTTCACACCAAACACAGCAAATGTTCTGTGTCGCTTGACGACTTTAAACTAGAATCTACCGCATCTCCTCCCAGTTTGGCTCCGCTAGCTGGACCTTTGCTCCCAGTGGCACCAGATCCCCCCCCCCGCTGATGGCTGCCTCCAACCAGCATCATAGCCACATCCTAGAAGTTTAACCTGAGGCTATTTTTCCTTTGCTTCTGCTGGCCATTCTACTCGCTTCACTCTAAGCTGATTGTTAATTAGCTCCCAAACGCCTCTTTACAGAAATATAGCAAACAGATCACTCCTATTTTATCCTTAATGGGAGTTTTAACACCTAGACTAAAACATTTATACCTAAAAGGATTCTGGGTTTTAGCTTCAATGCCATAAAGGTGTGAGGGATTGCTGAGAGTCAATCAGCTGCTTTTCCTTAGATAGAAACTAATCTGACTGGATGATCTGGTTGATCTGGATCTATAAAGTGAGATAAGATGTGAATTGGAGCTATAGAACTGAAATGAACCGAATAGATTTTCCCTGCTTGGACTTTAGTGAATCTCTCCTGCAGAGGAAGGAGATGCGAGTCCAGATTGGTTCCCGTGTCCCACCTGCTGTGGACCAGCCTGGAAACATGGCTGCCAACGCATCAGAACCAGCGAATCAGGGTTCTATCATTCATGTTTCACTGAAATGGGTCTTTCTTTGGACTCGGAGATGTTTTCCAGTTTGGAACCAGTGTTTCCAGTTTCCATCTACTCCGGATTAAAGGTTAATCTGATGGTTTCTGGGTGTTCTGAGGTCCAACCATGCTTTTCCTGATGGCGACCTTCCTGGGTTCTCCTCAGCAGAGACAGCAGCTTGTAAACATCTAATGTTGTTCAGAGGGAGACGGTTCCAGTTCATTACCATTTCCCAGCATGCTCGCTGCTGCCGGCTCCTCACACACAGAATAGATGGAAGCCTCCTCCTTCCTCCCTGAATCAAAGACCACTAAATCCCTCCATTCATGCCGGCACACACACCCGCCCGCCCGCTCTGTGTGTCAGTATATGTGTGCTGTGACGCCTCGTCAGCCTCTTCAGTGGAATGGCTGCTGGTGTGTGCGGCCGTCATCTGAAAGCCTTGACATTAAATAGCTGGAAGGCTCATTTTCTGCCTTTGTAACAGAAGGCGCATTAAACTCACACAGGATCATCCCGCTGGGCAGTGTTAGCTCATCAACAGATACCAGACACAATCTGTTTAATCTGCTTCTATGAATTTGCATCTATATAGCAAACAGAGCGCCCCCCCCCCCCCCCCCCCCCCCCCACACACACACACACAGGGCAGCGCTGCCTCAGGAAAACAGAAACTAATCTGAGCCTCTGAGTTGCTGAACAGCAGAAATGTGCCTGAACTTGGTGGCAGGAAACAAAATATAATCATCAAACAAATGTTCTCCTATTGGAACCGACGGTGGAACCAAAAATGGTGGAACTGATTGTGGGACACAAGGAGGTGGAACTGACGGTGGAACCGATGGTGGAACCGACGGTGGAACCAAAAGCGGTGGAACTGATGGTGGGACTGAAGGTGGAACCAAAGGCGGTGGAACTGATGGTGGAACCAAAGGCGGTGGAACCAATGGTGGAACCAAAGGCGGTGGAATTGATGGTGGAACCGACGGTGGAACCAAAAGCGGTGGAACTGATGGTGGGACTGAAGGTGGAACCAAAGGCGGTGGAACTGATGGTGGAACCAAAGGAGGTGGAACCAATGGTGGAACCAAAGGCGGTGGAACCAATGGTGGAACCAAAGGCGGTGGAATTGATGGTGGAACCGACGGTGGAACCAAAAGCGGTGGAACTGATGGTGGGACTGAAGGTGGAACCAAAGGCGGTGGAACTGATGGTGGAACCAAAGGAGGTGGAACCAATGGTGGAACCAAAGGCGGTGGAACCGATGGTGGAACCAAAGGCGGTGGAACCGATGGTGGAACTGAAGGTGGAACCAAAGGCGGTGGAACCGATGGTGGAACCAAAGGCGGTGGAACCGATGGTGGAACCAAAGGCGGTGGAACCGATGGTGGAACCAAAGGCGGTGGAACTGATGGTGGAACCAAAGGCGGTGGAACCAATGGTGGAACCAAAGGCGGTGGAACCGATGGTGGAACCAAAGGCGGTGGAACCGATGGTGGAACCAAAGGTGGTGGAACTGATGGTGGAACCAAAGGCGGTGGAACCAATGGTGGAACCAAAGGCGGTGAAACTGATGGTGGAACTGAAGGTGGAACCAAAGGCGGTGGAACCGATGGTGGAACCAAAGGCGGTGGAACCAATGGTGGAACCAAATGCGGTGGAACCGATGGTGGAACCAAAGGCGGTGGAACTGATGGTGGAACTGAAGGTGGAACCAAAGATGGTGGAACCGATGGTGGAACCAAAGGCGGTGGAACCGATGGTGGAACCAAAGGCGGTGGAACTGATGGTGGAACTGATGGTGGAACCAAAGGCTGTGGAACCGATGGTGGAATCAAAGGTGGTGAAACTGTTGGTGGAACCAAAGGCGGTGGAACCGATGGTGGAACCAAAGGCGGTGGAACCGATGGTGGAACCAAAGGTGGTGGAACTGATGGTGGAACTGAAGGTGGAACCAAAGGAGGTGGAACCGATGGTGGAACCAAAGGTGGTGGAACTGATGGTGGAACCAAAGGCGGTGGAACCAATGGTGGAACCAAAGGCGGTGAAACTGATGGTGGAACTGAAGGTGGAACCAAAGGCGGTGGAACCGATGGTGGAACCAAAGGCGGTGGAACCAATGGTGGAACCAAAGGCGGTGGAACCGATGGTGGAACCAAAGGCGGTGGAACTGATGGTGGAACTGAAGGTGGAACCAAAGATGGTGGAACCGATGGTGGAACCAAAGGCGGTGGAACCGATGGTGGAACCAAAGGCGGTGGAACTGATGGTGGAACTGATGGTGGAACCAAAGGCTGTGGAACCGATGGTGGAATCAAAGGCGGTGGAACCGATGGTGGAACCAAAGGCGGTGGAACTGATGGTGGAACTGATGGTGGAACCAAAGGCTGTGGAACCGATGGTGGAATCAAAGGTGGTGAAACTGTTGGTGGAACTGAACCAAAGGTGGTGAAACCCATGGTGGAACCGATGATGGAACCAATGGCAGTGGAACCTATGGTGGAACAGATGGTGGAACCTGCGGTGTAACCGCTACTGGAACCAACGGTTGAATCGCCGGTTGAACCAATGGTGGAACCAATGGTGGAACTGATGGTGGAACTGATGTTAGAACCTCTGCAGACATGGAGAACATCACCTCCATGTTCCAACAACTGTGACACTAGACTACAAACTCCAGATTCCCACAGCCGACTGGAATAAACAGAACCAAAACGATTTGATTCTGCTAAGCTAAAGGAACGTAGAACAGAACCGGACTCAGCCTTAAACAATAAATGACCTCAGTCAGACTCTAGATGTTCCTCTGTGGTTCCAACATTTAGACAATAGAAGAAGTCAGAGGAAGCATGTTTTCAGAGCTCCATCTGACATGATGGTGCCGATCCGGTTCACACTATGCTGGCTGACCGCCTGAGAAAAGGTAGATCTATAGAAATGATTCATTCTGTGGGAGGAACAGAAACCTCAGCTGAAATTCCCTCTCTGTATTTAACCCCTCCCCTTGGGGAGCAGGGTGGGGTTAAGGGTCTTGCTCAGGGACCCGGAGTGCAGGCTGAGGGGATGGACCGGGAACCTTATCGGAGCGCGGCTCTAAGCGCTAGGCCATGGCAGGGTTAGGGCTGGGATGTCTGCAGTAGAGGAGCGTGGAGCAGCCGCTCCTGCAGGTAATGAAAGGCTGCTTCTCCGCAGCGAGCGTCTCGCTCCGTTTGCTCGTCCTGCTTTCATCAGAGGAAAACAAAGCGGGGAGTTTCAGAGGGAGCAGATTGTTGTCAGGATTCCTCCTCGCCTCGACTCGCCTCAGCAGGAAATGAGACAAAAACACACACCTCCAGGGATCCGTCTCTCACACACAGTCATTCCGTCACATTCCTGCTCTGAGTGCGTGTTGGCAGAGCGATGACAGGAAGCAGAAAACACACCCTGAGGCCTGAATGTGTGTGAAGGAGCAGTAATTAATCATAATGTGCAGCTATTGATCGCCTGGCCTCTTTATTCCTCAGCTGCTTGATCAATAGTTCTGAAAACACCCAGACCTCCTCCTGCCTCGGACCTT